TGTATGTTTGAAATCATTGTATTCATGGGTGTATTCCTATTGTTTGACATGTTCAGCATTTTCAAAGGAGCAGTTAAGTTTTTTTGTACATTTATGGTATTGTGGACAGTGCTTGTTTTAAGAATTTGAGTTTCATTATTTAGTCAACAGAGAACAAAGCAATTTAGATACTATTGTGTGCTCTCTGGGAATTAAAGAATCAGAAGAGATATTCTAAAAATGAAATGACCACACATGATTACTAAACCCCTTAAATCATGAGTGACCAAAATCATTTAAACCCCACCAATTCCTTTCAGGAGAGAAGAAAATGCTTTTTCTCTGGGTGCTGTGTGCAACGTGTAATGCTACTATTGCTCCTGTTACTGCTCCTACTCACAGCCATTCAGTTGGTTATGAATCATAGCAGCAGCTTTACTGAACACGGTAGAACTGTGACTGTGGGTTTCCAAGACTGTCACCACACAGTCAAGACATTTGACTACATGAACACAACCAACGATGGATAACCTTGAGAAGCATAGGTCTCCTTGTGCTCACACACACATCGTTCATGGACTAAGAGGGAGTGGTGCAAACAAAACCAGGGAATATCATATGGTTTAAAATCAGGAAAGTATCGTGTATCGTCTCGCGATACTACTCAATCTGTATGCTGAGAAAATCATCAGAGAAGCTGGATTGTATGAAGAAAAATGTGCACCAGAGTTGGAGGAAGGCTTATTTATTAACAACTTGCAATAAGCAGATGACATAGCTTGCTTGCTGAAAGTGAGGAGCACTTGAAGCACTTGCTGATGAAGATCAAGGACTACAGCCGTCAGTGTGGCTTACAACTCCATGTAAACCAGAAGTCCCTGCTGACGCACTGCAACCGACAGCATGGGCAGAACTGCCCTGTGGGGCTCTGGACGTCTCTTTACAGGTGGGAAAAGCCTCGTGTTTCTCCTGCAAAGCGGCTTTGCTTTCAGACTGCTGATTGAGGCCAGCCGCCCAGTGGGTGACCGCACCACAATGGACTCCTAGGAAACATCATGACAGTGGAGAAGAGCTTATCGTTGTCTTGGATGCACAATCAATGTTCATGGAAGCAGCGGTCCAGAGATCCAAGGATGCGTCTCACTGGATAAATTTGATCCACAAGACCAGCTTAAAGCGTTGAAAAGCAAGGAGTTTACTTTGAGATAAAGGTTCACCTGAGCCAAGCCATGGTATTTTCAATTGCCTCGGGTGTATGTGAAAGGTGGACACTGACCAACAAGGACTAAAGAAGAATTGCCACCTTTGAACCATGGTGTTGGCGAAGAACATGAAAAGTTCCATGAATTGTAAAAGAATAAACGTTGTTGATCTTGGAAGAAGTACAGCCAGAATACTCATTAGAGGTAAGGACGGCGAAACTTCATCTCACATACTTTGGACTTGTTATAAGGAGAGACCAGTCCCTGGAGAAGGCCATCATGCTTGGTAAAGAGGGGCATCAAAAAAGAGGAAGGGCTTCAACAAGGTAAATTGGCACACTGGCTGCAACAATGGGCTCAAATGTAAGAGCAACTGGGAGGATGGCGCAGGACTGGGCAGTGTTTCATGCCGCTGCGCCAACTCAATGCCGAACAGCAAGAACAAAGAAATCAATGGATTCAAAGGCCCATCAAACATGTTCTGGGTCCCTCCTGGGAGATCCAAAACTGTACTTCTCACTTACATATGAAAAGGGAGTGTGAACTTTTTCGAATTTATGGATCTGGAAGAAATAAAATTCTAAGCACTTGAGAAATCTGAGGTAAACTAATCATGGACTGATCCTCAAGTTGTAGATCACTCAAGAATCACTTACACAATGAACAGTTGGCTCATTGGGGAAAAACAGGGGGCTGGGGAGGCAGGGCGTGGAGACTGACAGGTTTATTTCAGAAATAAACAAGAGGAAATGAACTCTAAGTCTGAAGCCAGCAGAGAAAGTTAAACACTATGGCAATGCAAAAGTCAAAGAATCTCTACTAGTATGGCAGGGACCATATCAAATGCAGGGATGCACATGGTAGACAACTGGGGAGG